AACGAAAACCAACCTGATCCCCGCAAGTCAATCTTTCCCGGGTTTTGAACAACCTACGAAGTACGACGGAAGCCAATAGCTTGGACGCAATCGGAAGTAGACTTATCCCCCGATAGTTGTCACAGGAACGACGTGAACCTTTTTTAAAGATAGGGACAACTATTGACTCATTCCATGACATTGGTACACTCTCTAGCTCCCAAACCTTTGTAAACAACGTCGTCAATTCCTTAGTCAGAAAGTCACCACCATCTTTAAAAAGAGCCGGAGGTAAGTCATCTGGGCCAGGTGATTTGTAGCGCTTCAAGAGATGGAGTTCCTTGCTGAATTCCGCCGGCCATGGAGGGCAGGACAATCTGACCGATGTTGCCGGAGCAACAGGCCAGTTGAACTGTCCTTCGAAGAATTCTGCCCATCGTCCAAGACGTCGATGGATGTTGGTGATTGACATCCCGTCATCCTTACAGATTGTTTCGCTCACACCAGACTTCGTGTTGCCAGTGGCTTGGATGAGTTGGAAGAGCTTCCGGTAGTTACCAGATGCAACTGCTGTTTCCAGCTCATTAGCACGCTCCGACCACCAGGCTTTTCGGTCCTTACGCAAGCTTTGCCCGATTTCCTTACGTAACAGTCGTCGTTTGTGGTCAAGCGCACGGTCACCCGGAGTAGACCGACGGGCTTCGATGAGTTGTACGGAGCCTGAAGAAACCCGGTGCAATCTGTCAGGGCATAGACGGAGATGACGAAAATACATCGTTTCTCACGCCGATTTCTTCTCACTTTGATGGAACTCTCTAATCTAACAACACATAGCCGACTGTTAATGGGGATCCAATCGATTAGTGCTACCTCAGCTCTAGCGCTTAGTGCGACACCAACGCCAGCAAGACCAGACGAAGATGCCACAGGGTCCCCGGATAAACGCACGTAAAACAAGCTTTTCGAAGCGACAGATGGAGAGGGGATTTGTAGTACTTCACTAAAGTCTTGAATACGGGTTTTGTATAGACAACAAACGTCGATATTAAGACTTTTCAAAGACTTAGCCAGCCCTATCTTTTGTCCAACCTGCATAAGTGTGTGGAAGTTGAAGGCAGCCAGTTTGTATGGTGCACGTGGTTTCAGAAAAACTGCTTCAGTACTCATATTCGGTGGTGACATACAATTTTCAACTAGGCAGTGACTCGAGAACGTTTAGATAGAGTCGAATATCCACCAAAGACGAGCTGCTGTATAAGTCGAAAAAATAAGTATAGACAGAGTAGGAATAAAAGAGGGTGAATAAACGACGTAGTAAATAATAATAATAATAACAATAATAATAATAGTAATAACGATAGCAATATGAATTTTTTGACTGTAAATCGAAGCGAGAATAGAATTTTCGGTAAATATCGTCATTTTCATTTTATTTGTGTGAGGGTTGTGATACTACCCGGGTGCCCAGACCGAAGCAGGTGGTTTTCTTAGGGGGCCACTTCCTGAGCCTTCGACCTAGAAGTCTAACCCACAAGGCAATGGAGCATCGTGAGGAGATGCAGTCCCATGGTAGCCAGTGACCAACGATTGATTCATACGCCATTTGTTCCTGCAGGATACTGGAGCCCATGTGCACCATTGGTTTGGGATCCGGTTAAAGCGCCGGACATTCGTTTTTCGTCCTCTGATTTTTGTAGACAACACCCCTGCCACGAGAAGGCAGTGAGTAGGACTTCCCTGGTAGAGGCTGTATACGCGTGGCCGTGTGAGAGTATTTCGAGAGGGAGAACGGGTCCATCCCACTCTCGGCCATACCAGGGCATTTGGGGGCTGGCTTTTGTAATGTTATAATGTTAAGGAAGTACATAAGTGCAACTATCATTTTATCATTAAATATTTCGCAAACAAGTAAAAATATTTTACAAGAAAACAAACAATAAGTAACTAAATGACTTACATATAAATAATTCAGCCATTCCACAACTTTGTTCTATTGTTAGCCAATCAGTACCTAAATTTAGAATGAGCACAACAAAAGACCTAAAACATTTTGGTCGATCATAATGAAAATTTGTCTTTATACAATATATATAATTTTAGTTTACTGGTTTAATGCATTAAACTTTCGTCCAACCTAGTAGGTCACATGTTCGAAATCCTCTTTACCTACCTCAGTTTAAGAAATTGGCTAGTATTATGAGGCTTCATACAAATGGTATAGCTCAAAGTCGAATATAAAGTAGATTGGATACATAAATATCTGACTAAATACTAGGAAAAATAATATCAGTTAGTCATAAACAATATAGAACGTGACCATTATATGCATCGGTTCAAGCTGCTACATTATGTCAGGATATTTGGGTGAAAATATCAAGACAAATGTCAGAGTAATGGAAGTAGTAACAGCATCAGTAGAAAACACTAAACATAGACAGCATGATTCGAGAAGACAGAATGAACTAGTAATATAAGATCGTTTTAAAATTTAGGACCTAAGGGAAGACGAAGAGTGAATTTATCTGCGTCATTGACATTATGACGCCTTCCACTCAACATCAACTACTGAGTGCGGTCACTGAACGAAAAGCAGACAGGTAGTCTGCACCTGTCAACACAGCCTAGTTCAGCGGTCAATCACTTCATGGACTGATTCCACTTATTAGTTTTACCGCACCTAACTTGATAAATATATTTCAGTGAAATTTTGCTGATTCATAAACTAAGAGGTAACCCACATTTATCGAGATCCCCAAGAATATTTTATTCTGATCTCTGAACATTGTTAAATGAGACAGGGTTTATATATTAGAGATTCACTGGTTGAGAACAAAGTGTGTAATAAACCAGACTTGGCTCAGGATAATCAGTTTATTGTTGAACACAAAATTACAGAATTATTTCGCAGAATGTGAAAACCATACATTCAATAGTTCATTTGAAAATCTTCCATCAAATGTCCTATACATCCTTCATGATTCTTCCAATCTTCAATCCCTTAATGTTTCCCTTTCTGTTTTCTTCATTTCAATATTCTCAACCTTCTGCTGACAGGTATTCCACTTCTGATTGATGTTATATACTACTTATGTCTTAGTAAATATCACATATATGTCGACTGTAGAAAATATGTTTTCACATTATCCAATTAAAAAAAATAAGTAAGCACGTTTATTCGAAGCAACCGATATACAAACAGAAGATATTTAAATATTTTAAGAAATTTCATATAGGGAGACATTGATTTTAAAAAAAGATTATCGATCCTATCAATCAAATGGGCATGTTCATAGTGAAGACGTAAAAACAGTAAGAAATGTGCTAGACAAAATAGTTTCTTCAATTGAAAGATAATTCCCATTTAAACATTAAAATTAAAACACGAATTTCAGCGAAGGGATCTCTTTTCAACGAATTTATTATCAAGCTGTACAATCGTATATATATGAAAATTTTGTTTTTGTAAAAGTACTAATTCCGTGAGGAAATGTGAACACAGTTAATATAAAGGTTATAATACAAGATTACGTAATATGAATAATAACAATATTAAGAGATTTAGTGAATGTAACAAGGTGATTAAAATGTTTTTTTGTCATAATAATTAAAGGTCATAGAGGTGTAAAAAATAATAAATAAGGTGATATGATGAGTATTTACGAATAAAACAATGAGAATATAAGAAATAAGTAAAAGGGAGAATGCAGTAATAATAATAATAATAATAATAATAATAATAATAATAATAATAATAATAGGATAATCAAAATAATTAAGAATATGAATAGAAGTAGTCACGACAAGAATTCTAGCTATTCCGTTCCGAAGAAAAACCTTTATATAAGTCTGGAATTTAAAGGTGATCGAACATCAGAAGTAATCAAAAATCGTCTAACAACAACAATTAGAAGAACATTTAATGCAGCTAAATTGCGAATAACCTTCACGAGTAGGAACTTATTTTCTGTATCCATAAAAGATAAGCTTCCGCGTCTGGTCGCCTCCATGTGCATCTACCAGTTCACCTGCTCTTGTGGAGCAAGGTACATTGGCCGTAGCCAGCGCTCGCTTTCAACTCGGATACGAGAACATTTCCCAGCCTGGTTCTATAAGGGTGAAAGGAAAGCAGTTAGGAGTTCTATACTTGAACACCTAATCGACTATACCATTCAACAGATCCACAAATTGACTTTAAGGTTGTTTATATGATTCGTTCAAATCTACCCAGATTTCTTCGTATCCAACTTTTAAAAATAAAAATAGCCGAAGCCCTTGCCATCCAGGAGCTTAAACCAGAACTATGCGTACAAAAGAAGTACGTCTTATCGTTACCTTGGCCTTAATTATTTTGATTATCCTATTATTATTATTATTATTATTATTATTATTATTATTATTATTATTATTATTATTATTACTGCATTCTCCCTTTTACTTATTTCTTATATTCTCATTGTTTTATTCGTAAATACTCATCATATCACCTTATTTATTATTTTTTACACCTCTATGACCTTTAATTATTATGACAAAAAAACATTTTAATCACCTTGTTACATTCACTAAATCTCTTAATATTGTTATTATTCATATTACGTAATCTTGTATTATAACCTTTATATTAACTGTGTTCACATTTCCTCACGGAATTAGTACTTTTACAAAAACAAAATTTTCATATATATACGATTGTACAGCTTGATAATAAATTCGTTGAAAAGAGATCCCTTCGCTGAAATTCGTGTTTTAATTTTAAAATAGTTTCTGTTTCAATGAGAAATAGTGAAAAACAAACAAACAACCTAAATAAAAATCAATTGAGAAAGCTTTTACGTGAATTCAATGATTTAATGTAAGTAATTTTTAAACACGCCTATTTCGAGCTACACGGTATGTATGAAGGGCACAGTTATACTACTTAATCGGCTTGACAAACCGACAAAGTATCAGAAGGCGTTTTGTGCAGATTGTAGTAATTTCAATAGTTAAGATCATGAGTTAATTGAAGCTAGACCACCATGGAAAACCTGGAAGCACTGGACGGCAGTTGAACTCCACTGGTCGCTGCTTCTCACTAGAACTCTAGGATATACCTCTTGAAGCCGGTCACTAGTGAGCATATGTTGATTAGTATCAGAAGGGGTTTTGTGGAGATTGTAGTAACTTCAATAGTTGAGATCATGAGTCGATTGAAACGGCCGTCGAGTGCTTCCGCGTTTTCCATGGTGGTCTAGCTTTAATTGGACTAGTACTAAGTCACACAAAACACGTAAGCATGCTAGGAAGTATGCACTGACATGACAGTTGGAAGCCGAGAAAATACTCAATCTAGTAGAGAAAATTATCCCCAAAATTTAACATGCCATATAAGTAACAAAATTTTGGTACGCTGAAACATTAAATATTATAACACTAAAAAGTCAGTGAAAAAGTACATAGGACGAAAAGCGCCATCCGTCATGGTTTACCGAGATGGTAGAAATGGTGAATTTTGTTCGATTCTGATTGGTGGTTAGCTCGTGTGACAAAGTTGCGAGTGGGATTTGAGTTTATCTTTGGTTCAATTTATGTATCTATTTTACAGGTTTCATAAATTAAAAATATCGTAGTTATTTATCAGCTTTTTCAGTCACTTCACTAGTAAAAGCAAGTGTATAAAAAGCACGTGTATCTCAATTGGAAGTCGCGGACCGTAACAACAGGAAATCATACAAGTGATTAAATATCACTATTTGTGTAGAACTATAGTATAGCTTGACTAGAACATCACAAAAATAGATTTCATACAGATAAAAGGCACAATTTGAGGTTTATGAAGGGGAAAAAGTGTATACAAATAAAGTAATTCCCAATGAATTCCATAACTTTTCAGAGTTCACCAAGGGATATGCGATGGGTCAATAAACTTATCGGAATGAATGTGCATCTTTTGAACAAGTGAAATCGCTACTTCTGATTTCCGATCTACTGCCTACATACATCTATCTATCTTAGCAATAAACACGTACTTTGAGCAACATATAAAACGAAGAATAATAGTACGAATAATAATCCTTGTCCTTGTAATATGAATTTACATTATAGTCATCAATCATTCAAGAGACAGGAAGATAAAGTAAAGAATTTTGAAAAGCCATCAGTCATACGATCGACAGCTTCAGTGAATTATGTTATAACTTGAGACCGCCGATTAAACAGCAGTGACTTATCGATCGGATCAATAACGTGTAAACCCGTATGAGCAGTCTAGAGTTCTGATTGGTCCTGCTTTCCGTCTAGCCCAGCCAGTTAAGTTCAGAACACCAATTCCAGCCTCTACGATATGAAACATGTATTTCGAACATACTCGGTTTATATACCAATCAAACAGACCACAACGTACCATAAAGTAGAAAATAACATTTGTACAAAATTTGGCCAAATGTGGGAGGCAGTGACTAATAGACAGGGCATAATTCAAGAATGGTAAAACGTATAATAATGGTTCATAAGTCGAAATAAAGCTTATAATGAGAGGAATATGAATATGAATAGTTTAGTTATTTAACAATTATACAATAAAAATATACGTTTAGTATTGGCCCACAATGGATCCCAAAAATTACCACTCATTATTCTTATCAGGACATAACAGATTACCGGACATTATAAGTAAAACTAATGTATAAGGACGAGGCGGTCAAAATTCAGAATACGATTTCTAGGTTATTGTGTGAAATTGAAATATCACATATAACGAGTATTAAAAATACCTTTGTATGCTGATCAAAACGTTTCAAATGATAGTGGAAAATTGTTTTTTTGTCACCATTGAGTAAAACTGATAGTGCTAAATATATCAAATGCTAAATTCTGTCTTTGTAGAATATGTATAAGAGACAAATTGACGCTATTCCTAAACACTTAACAAACAAAACCTTTACTTAGTGTCCTTATATTTTATTAACGAACTGATCAGATAACGTCACTCGGAGATTTCGCGCGTAATCCACTCATCCATATGGCTGCGTGCCACTTCCTCATCATACCTGATATCATTTTGCGACGGAAACTCTAATCCTAAGAATGATGTGGGGATTCTGAAAGATCTGTTTGTTTTTCTAAGGGTTCGAGAAGACGAATAACCTATGCATACATAACGTTGACCTTATGTCGTTTTTTAATTGGTAGGCAGAGTAAACGATGGAAGACGTTAAACAATCCATTAATTATGTAAATCTGTTCACACTTCTTAACATTATGGGATTTTTTTCCCTCAAACTATCCACCTGTAAGAGACGTTCTCCAATTGACTAGGAAATGACTGAGAATTTGTAGCAATGCTATGAACTTGGAAAAAGTTTTAAACTATGTAACATAAAAAGAATAGTATTTAACACATCATATGTAACTTTCTAGATGGCCAAAAATTCAGAGTCAGAACACTGACTCAACGACTTATACGAACCTAGTTAAGCAAAGAGACAATCAGGCAGCAATACTAGCTAATACAAGTTCATAACAAACAGACTATAAGACTGATATTTCGCTACAAAGTTCATATTATTAATATAAAAATAATACATCGACATAAATAGTTTGTAACTGGTCTTAGGAAACATTAAACATAATAACAGAATAAAAATTAAGGTAGACAATAAAATAAAGTGCAAGTTAATTGTGAAGAATAAGAATTTTAGTCCGACAATAGGATGATGTCACATAAAATTAGGATTTCAAATTGTAAAACTGAGAACAAGGAGTTAACAGTTACTCCTAATAACCACTACTCAGCGTGTTGCAAAATGCATGATATTTACTAACTGATCGTCACTTCTGATTATTGAAGTCGAAACAAGATTTCACAAATTCAATGAAAACAGACCATAAGAGCTGGTGGTATATGAAAGTGGTGGAAATTATTTTTGAGTGCAAATCAAATCATCCAAAAACATCCATTTTGATGGATTGAATGTATGTTATATGTACTATCCAAGTAGGAGCTAAAAAGGCAAAAATATATTACTATTAGAAATCGCTACATAAAGCGAAGAGACGATGCATCCGTAATGTGGCGATAAGGAATAAAATGAAATTGTGTTACGGTTATAACTATTAGATGCGTCAAGACTTTCTAGATGAGATCTTTAAAATCATGCGATTAGATCGATTGATATGTTAAAAACATGGAACATCCTAAAAAAGAGTAATCATATCAAAGGTTATTCACTAGACGAACAGAAATTCACTTGGTATTATTTGCTTGTATCTTCTCATTGTTGTTAAGGACTGCAATTGATCAGTCACTTGTTGGCATGCATGCATCATGTGCGGACTGCCTCGATATTGCGTTGTCACAAGCTTTACAAGCAAAGATGGATAGTAGCTAGCAGTGGACGAGACGCGCGTTCTGGGTTCCACTGCTAGCCACCGTGCATCTTTGCTTATAAAACGAACATATAGTCTAAAAACAATTATCATAGTTAACTATCAGCAAACTACACGAAAACAAACCTCTATCGGGGAATAGCTCTTTCATCAGTTCAGACATTTCCCAGAATCCAATACGAAGTACAGCAGATTTGGTGTTATCTCCTAGCTTTAGACCATCACAGATACCTGCAGCGATTGCTACAACATGTTTGATACCGCCACATAATTCAACTCCAACATCATCCTGTGTAATCACCATTCTTAAGTAATTTGTCTACATTGAGACAAAAAAAAGTCAAACACACAACAAGGCTCAATAAGTATTATTGCATAAGAAGGAATAATGCAACAGATAATGTTACATAAAGTCCATTAACTCAAATAGTGGCATCAAGCCTTATTGAAAATGTGAATGCATGTAGCACTACCTGGTTACCCAAACTGAATTAGGTTAAACGGGATTCAAATCCACTAATTGGTGGCTGAAAGTTGAATATCTTAACTACTGAGACACCACTCCAACAAACTAGACGAAAAAAGAAACAGTTTTTACTAACTGACCCTAACTACACAATCACTGAAAACCAGGAAATATTGAACAGCTGTTTTATTCTATTACGAGACTCCTCAGTGGTGCGCATCTACAACCCCAGTAAGTGGATCTAACCAAGGACATTTATTTCTTCTGACAATGAGTGCTTATAAACTTCAGACCGCTTGCTTGAAACGGAAAATTTTTAGTACAAATTTTTCATTAACAATTTACAACTGAAAATAAAAAATCTAGATATCTAGGAAATTATGATAAATCTAATAGCTTCAGTTTTAGCGGAAATAATCTAGACAGAAAGTTGAAATCAATATATTTGTCTAAATGTTTACAAAAAAAGCTTGATAAATTTAAACAATATAGACGATCTTCAGAGAAGAATGTGTACGGGAGAAATACAAAGTACTTTAGGCAAACAAATGCATAACTTTAATATGTTTACAATTTTTAAAAAAATGTCATTCCGTAGTTATGTAGGTCACATTTTAACTGATAATTGACTCGATTACTATTACTGTCAAAATATATTAAACATTTAATTCTCGGGATTTTTTGGTGATCGATTAAATTTGGAGACTTGCACATCATGGTTTCGGTACTTGGTGTAGTAGTGGGTACATACTGTTGGTGAACATATGTCAACATAAGTAGTATATAACGCTATTTAGGAACAGAGTTTCTGGCAGCAGAAGGTTGAGAATATCGAGGAGGGAAGAATGAGAACAGAAAGCAATTGGTATGGAAATGCAGAAACAATGAAGTCTGAGACAATTAATAAACATTCTGCAAATGAAGTATTAGAGTATAATTTTCTTATTTTATCAGGTAATTCTGTAATTTTGTGCTAAATATAATCGGTTGTCTTCACCTGTGTTCTTCAACACTACAGTACTACCTGGTTTCTAATTTCACATTAAATGAAACCAATCTGTGATGAGTACTAACTACATATCAAACATTTATTAATCATAAATGTTACAACAATGTTTTGTTTGGTACAGTGTCGAATCCGCAATCAGATGTTTTCGATCCGGATAGTTAAGTAGTATTATTAAGCCCAATAAAAACTGGCCTAAAAACCGAATACCTAAGTAGAATAGCGATTGTTTACCGAATAGTACTACTAAATCAAATAACACTTTGATCAATATGTAATTGTATCACACTGAACAATTAGTTCAGTCAATCCGAGACACTTATTCTTTAGCATACTTTGAGATCATAGCCAACAATGAAACATATGATACGCGTTTCGTTCTATTTGAGACTCCTCAGTTATACGTATATACATCCAAATGTTGATGTTCATACTTAACCTTGAGTCAAACACCTAATAATCCGAACACCAACCCGTTATCCACTAGACCACTGACTCCAGCACGCCATTGACTTTTTCAATAAGTATAAGGTTATTTGTAAGGGTTTGTATTTTCCCACTGTTGAGATTAAAGATTGAAATTGATCATTCTCTAATAGTATACGTACACATTAAGCGGATATCTGATTGGCAAGTCCCAAATAGGACGTGATGTGCGTTCTGGATTTCACCACGACCCGAAAATATTCTAAAACCTTGCATTTTTGCAATATCGAGGTATCTACTCAACATATATATTTTACAACAGCTTGATTGAATGTAGCCATGGATATCAAAGACGGAAAAATCTCAGCAACAGCAGGCAATCACTCTTTTCTTCAATAATTTTTTTCCATTCATATGTGTACATACAGCCCCCTAAGTATATGTGCGTCCGCGTTATTTCATCATGAAAAAAGGACTGTTGCTTTTAGGAATTAAATCTACTGCGACCCTATCTCCACCAAAAAAGGACCCAGAATCAGAGAAAGCGGAGGTTTTCTTTTTAAAATAAGATTTAGAAGTATCGAAACTTTCCAATTAGAGAAATATTAATGTGATTGAATGCTCAACGATGAGCATCCACAACTCTGTATCCGAGGCTTGAACCTAAGACCTTCGGTTTCACGCGAACGCTTAATCTCTAGACCACTGAGCTGGCAACCAACAGTGTTAATGTCTGGCTTCAACCAATCCACGATATCTCGCTACCATCTTCCACTGTCTTAGGTGGGCAGCTGCTTCACGCTCGACACGGCTGAACTCCACTGATCACGACTTTTCACTAGGACTCTGAGAGTTCCCTCTCGAAGGTAATCATTTGTGAACACATGATAATTTTCAGTATGGAGTTGTGGTTATTGAATTTAATTGAAATCATGAACCGATCAATGTTGGACTACCAATGAAAACCTGGAAGCACTGGACAGCCGTTTCGTCTTAGTATGAGACTTATCAGCGGAGCGAATCCACGGCCCCGCATGCGAGACTTGAAGAATATCGATGTAATTTTATAATTTGATTGACAAGATGATAAAAAAACGTTTCAAAGTGTTGAGGTCGTTTTTTAAACTAAATGAGTAGACTAATTCATTGCTTTACGGAAAGTGTTAGCCATTTGACTACGATTGATAGTTTTGGATGAAATATTAAACTCTATTCAACTAATTTATGTTTTAAACACCAAGATTAAATGTATCTCATATGCCAAAATTTTGAATGCATCCAAAGAGGAAAACTTTCAAAAAGGGGGAAGTGGTTGACCTTGCTATTCCAGATAGGTTATGTGTTATTTCAAGGAATATGGTAGGTGACAGATGTAAGTCTGGAGAAGCTCATTGTGAGTAAATTAGTCATCTAAGATCACGAACTATATGTCCATGTCTGAGTCAGTAAAAATACACATATATACCTATGAGTTATGTACACCTTGATTCAATTTCGGCATTAAAGTTTTTAAAGCATACCTAGTTGTCACACTTTTATACACGGTTGGATAAACAATAGGGAGCGCATATTGTGAATGGATCGGATTAATGGATCATAACAGTAGCTTATATAGTCTAAATAATAAAAAAGCCCCCAAATGCCCTGGTATGGCCGAGAGTGGGATGGGCCCGTTCTCCCTCTCGAAATGCTCTTACATGGCCACGCGTATACAACCACTGTCAGGGAAGTCCTACTCACTGCCTTCTCGTGGCAGGGGTGTTGTCTACAAAAATCAGAGGACGAAAAGCGAATGTCCGGCGCTTTAACCGGATCCCAAACCAATGGTGCACATGGGCTCCAGTATCCTGCAGGAACAAATGGCGTATGAATCAATCGTTGGTCACTGGCTACCATGGGACTGCATCTCCTCACCATGCTCCATTGCCTTGTGGGTTAGACTTCTAGGTCGAAGGCTCAGGAAGTGGCCCCCTAAGAAAACCCCCTGCTTCGGTCTGGGCACACGGGTAGTATCACAACCCTCACACAAATAAAATGAAAATGACGATATTTACCGAAAATTCTATTCTCGCTTCGATTTACAGTCAAAAAATTCATATTGCTATCGTTATTACTATTATTATTATTGTTATTATTATTATTATTTACTACGTCGTTTATTCACCCTCTTTTATTCCTACTCTGTCTATACTTATTTTTTCGACTTATACAGCAGCTCGTCTTTGGTGGATATTCGACTCTATCTAAACGTTCTCGAGTCACTGCCTAGTTGAAAATTGTATGTCACCACCGAATATGAGTACTGAAGCAGTTTTTCTGAAACCACGTGCACCATACAAACTGGCTGCCTTCAACTTCCACACACTTATGCAGGTTGGACAAAAGATAGGGCTGGCTAAGTCTTTGAAAAGTCTTAATATCGACGTTTGTTGTCTATACAAAACCCGTATTCAAGACTTTAGTGAAGTACTACAAATCCCCTCTCCATCTGTCGCTTCGAAAAGCTTGTTTTACGTGCGTTTATCCGGGGACCCTGTGGCATCTTCGTCTGGTCTTGCTGGCGTTGGTGTCGCACTAAGCGCTAGAGCTGAGGTAGCACTAATCGATTGGATCCCCATTAACAGTCGGCTATGTGTTGTTAGATTAGAGAGTTCCATCAAAGTGAGAAGAAATCGGCGTGAGAAACGATGTATTTTCGTCATCTCCGTCTATGCCCTGACAGATTGCACCGGGTTTCTTCAGGCTCCGTACAACTCATCGAAGCCCGTCGGTCTACTCCGGGTGACCGTGCGCTTGACCACAAACGACGACTGTTACGTAAGGAAATCGGGCAAAGCTTGCGTAAGGACCGAAAAGCCTGGTGGTCGGAGCGTGCTAATGAGCTGGAAACAGCAGTTGCATCTGGTAACTACCGGAAGCTCTTCCAACTCATCCAAGCCACTGGCAACACGAAGTCTGGTGTGAGCGAAACAATCTGTAAGGATGACGGGATGTCAATCACCAACATCCATCGACGTCTTGGACGATGGGCAGAATTCTTCGAAGGACAGTTCAACTGGCCTGTTGCTCCGGCAACATCGGTCAGATTGTCCTGCCCTCCATGGCCGGCGGAATTCAGCAAGGAACTCCATCTCTTGAAGCGCTACAAATCACCTGGCCCAGATGACTTACCTCCGGCTCTTTTTAAAGATGGTGGTGACTTTCTGACTAAGGAATTGACGACGTTGTTTACAAAGGTTTGGGAGCTAGAGAGTGTACCAATGTCATGGAATGAGTCAATAGTTGTCCCTATCTTTAAAAAAGGTTCACGTCGTTCCTGTGACAACTATCGGGGGATAAGTCTACTTCCGATTGCGTCCAAGCTATTGGCTTCCGTCGTACTTCGTAGGTTGTTCAAAACCCGGGAAAGATTGACTTGCGGGGATCAGGTTGGTTTTCGTTCTGGTCGAGGATGTATTGATCATATCTTCACCCTCCGCCAAATGTTAGAACACCGCCATACTTATCACAGGCCAACAATCGGAGTGTTTCTTGACATCACGGCTGCCTTCGATTCGTTGGACAGGGCTGTTCTCTGGGATTTTCTATTGAAGAAGGGTGTGCCTGAGAAGTTTATTAACATCCTAAAGGCCCTATATACAAACACCCCAGGCAGAGTGAGGGCATACAACCACCTTTCTCCATTGTCCCATTCGAGCAGTGAGGTTAGACAGGGTTGCCCAATCTCACCATTCCTCTTCAACTTTGCCATCGGCGAAATTCTTAAAACAGCCCTGATGGATGTAAGTAATGAGTGTGGATCTGTTGCCTGGAGAAAAACTTCTCGACCTTGAGTATGCGGATGATATTGTCTTACTGAGTGATAATGCCCAAGCCATGCAATCCGCATTCAATGAGCGTCCGTAGTTATGGTATGTGCTTTGCACATTCGAAGTGCAAAGTACTTTTACAAGACTGGCAGGATTCTAATCCTGTACTCACTCTGGATGGTGAGCAGATAGAAGTGGTCGAGAAGTTCGTGTATCTGGGTAGCTGCATAAGTGCTGGTGGTGGCATCAGCGAGAGCAGTTTTGCTCTATGCTTGTGAAACCTGACCTCTCCGAGTTGAGGATGTTAGACGACTCTCTGTGTTCGATCATCGTTGTCTCCGAAGGATTGCTGACATCCCATGGCAACACCATGTTAGTAATGCAGAGGTTCGGCATCGTGTGTTCGGGCCGAGTGACGATAATCCGATTGGTGTCACCATCTTGAAACACCGACTTTGGTGGCTTGGACATGTTCTACTTTGGACAGCATAACTATCAATAGTAAACTTATTAAGAAATAAATAACTCTTGTACATCTAATTATGGAAGCATTTGATGTGAATATGGTTGTTTGTTCTTCTCTAACATAATAAAATATTCATTTGTAGATTTCTGCACTAACACATCGATAGTGTTAGAAAAAAATTATTTCAGTAGTTCAATTCACCAGTCGAAAGAAATTTTTGTCAGTATGGGGTTGTAGAGATCGTTAAATTGGATTGAAATCATGGACCAATCTAAGTAAGACTACTACTGAAAAGCTTGGATGCCACCTCAGTGATCTGGAGGTTAAGCGTTCGTGTGCGAGACCAGAAGTCCTGGGTCCGACTCCCACATATAAGGTCGTGGATGCGCACTGCCGGGGGGTCCACCGCCAGGATGAAAAGGGATTTCCAGTGCTTTCAGGTTTTAATGGTGATTATTTGAACAAATAAATTTAGTTTATAGCAGTTAAACGAAGCCTTAAACACCATGCTTCGACACCTTATAAGATTAGCTTCTTAATAATTAAATAAAATGCTTACAGAAACTATAGTTAGTCCACAAGCTAAAAAAATCAACCAAACCTCTTAATTTGCTTATTGAGTTTAGGATAGCAATCAATTTTCTCTGTGAAATATCATATTACCTGAAGCAATCGTTTTACTTCACTTCCATGATCGTAATTTTTAGCACCAATAGTTACTTCGGTGAATTGTTGTTCAGCTATTTCTACAGCTGTTGTAGCTCCACTGACAACAACACAACTTTTACCAGTTTGCTCACGAATCATATCACTCACTAGTTTGACTCGATTTTCTTCTGAATACAAAACAAGACCCTACATTCGATTAAAAAAAGAAATAACGAGAAATTATGAGAAAAAAAGCGATTTATGGGAAAGAGTATTGTATCGCAAAATAAATCCATTCAATTAGACTTTTTCGTATTTCACCTTTTTGTACTACACGGATAGTGGATCTATATAAGTATTATGAGACGCTATAAGTTGTAATCTAAATTAAATTAGTTGTCCAAGTGAGCAAAAAACTATTTACAATACGAGTTTAACTAGCTATTAGACTAAAATATTTACATAATCAACCTAAGATTAATGAAAGCTCATTTACCAAAAATAATTATTTCAGTTAAGCCAGATTAACAATAAAAATACAATTACCTAATGTCGTAACTAATGATTTAACAACAATATTCTCCAAAGCCATAAACTTCGGGCAGACAAATGTTAGGTGTTTGAAGTTTGTGAGTAGGAAACCCTGAACCTAGATTCTACACTAGTTGTTACTAGTTAGTAATATATGCATGCAATTTCGAAGGAATCGATGCGTCAACCAAAGGAATTTAAACTAACATCACCCAGCCTCACAGTTTGAGACATCGTTCCGAAAATTACCCTTGTGAAGGACCAAGATATTTACAACTGGTTGGTTATTGATTAGTGATCAATGTCATGTTTCGCTAGTCCCTCAGTGATGATAGAACTCCATCGACTAAGTTGCATGTTGTCACTAGTCTAGGTGACTTGATATCTTATGCACCATGAGATGTTACATGGTTGGAGTTAGTAGGTAGGAAATCCTGGATCTGGGTTTTTACTAGTTGTTACTCTTCAATAAGGCGTTTCAGATGAGCGCATGAGACGTCGATTCACTTAAACTAATAGTTACATGCAACTTAATTGACAGGATCCGAACAGAACTGAACAATTAAAGAAGCATAAAACCGATTAATACCTCGTGATCAATTAATTGCCAATAGACAGACAAAAAATATGAAGCGTGGAACAATAACTATTTGTTCTAAGCTAATTTTTGTGGAACGAATTTGAAACAGAAAGTACTAAAGTCTTCTATAGCAAAAATTAATAAGCGAAAATCAAAATGCATAACTGAATAATATACTGTTTAACGGCGAATTTGCTGGACCGCGGTGTCAAAATTTTGGCTCTATCGTTTGGACTCTAAACATTTTCCGCCTTAAAGATGCTTCAATAACACTGATGTTTAAGCATTTATCATTTATGAGCAAAGCACCTTTAAAGATAAGGACAGACAATCCCATAGTGAAATCCCAAGGGATAAATTAGAATCACTGTCGATCAAAGTTCTGTATTTTGTTGGTAGTTTGTAATTTAAGTGCTCAATGTGTTTAATGAAATGCATCAGATGGATAAAGCGATCGACTAACTTCTCAATGTAACATTTTTCTTTGTTGACACACATGAAAAAGGTATGCGGATCTTCATTTATCTTTACTTTTATTGTAATTCAACTAGTTAGACTAATGAATCATTTTCGCTTCCCAACAGTTAGCAACAACACGATTTACCAAACGATCAAAAGTTTCTTAGATTCAGTCTTGTATTTCGACCTGAGATTAATGTAGTTCCATAAAAACTTTATTAGGTTCCTTGAGTCTGAAAGCTACATCAAGTACTTTAAGTTCTCCAACTCTTTCTAGTGTTCATCTAAGTTTGAATACGCAGATTCAGACATATCAACTAGTTATCGCTGGATTTAGTAATGGTCCCTATATTCAATGCAGAGAACCAAATTGGCATTTCTCAAGACTAAACAGTAGTACTATGAGAGATTAGAAAGGCACACTTTCAGCTATACCACCAATGTTTACACGGTGGTCGTATTCGTTCAACAGTACGTTATTGCTTTCATAGCTTAAAACTTTAGCAGCAAAGTACTGATACTGATTTTGAATTAAAAACTTTGAAAGTAATACGTTTCACACTACAACCTCGAAATATTAGTTCTCTTTCCTGACCTAATAAGTGCATGTATATTTTAAAATCTTTTTGTTGCAGTGAGTATTTCCGAAGATTTTTGACCATCAGCAACAGTTACTTTTACAGTCATACAGGAATTCTCGGATCAGTGAAACGTTTAAAAATCTCCATAGACCTTGAACAACAACAATAGGTCAGTCAAAATATTAGACATAATCTTTATCATACCGCAATACACATTGGCACAAAAACCAATCTTAAAAAGACCTGAAATCTCAAACAATGCAATGACACATAGTGAAGCCAAGATTCATGTTGGATAATAAACTTAACGGTATACTAGCAAAACGTACCGATACGTCTTTTAGGCCTGAAAGATAGTGGTTCGGAATCAATGTAAATAGAATTTATACAGCAAGAAATGGAAATGTACAGAAGATAGACTACCAGGGAGTTTAGATGCAAATAAACAGTCCTAAGAAACCAAAAACTCTCAAGGTTCTTATTTAGTAGGTAATATTTGGTTCGTCGGACGATCTGGACTATTTTAACGAATTTAGATATTTAAGTCTGTGTACATGTCACCCAGTTAATGTGAGCACTTGAGCAACTAAATGCTAGACAAAGTGGCATGAAAAAAACTAAATATCAACACAATATTTTACTGCTTGATTATAACGTAAACATAAAGACTAACGCTTATACCTAGAATAACATTGATCGTGAACCAAGCAAGAAAATTAATAATATTGCCTGAAACTCACTTTACAGAAGGAGACGAAGTAGGCATTTTCTTTGACATGCCCATTCATTTGTTTTATTAACCACTGTACATATCGAGATGGATAAGCAACTACTATGATATCAGCATCTGAAACAACTTCTTTGATATTACTGTTTGCTACGACATTAGTAGGAATAGTAATACATGGCAAATATACTGGATTTATATGATCGTTATTGATATAATCAACCAAATTTCGGTCATTGTGAGTTTCATCACGTACATACATAGCGATCTAAAAGCCATTTGAATATCGGAATATTCTGACAAACTCACCTTACTACAAAACTCATTTGAAGACGCGACGTTATCGGCGATAACTTTAGCAATAGCTGTGCTCCAGGCACCACATCCCAAAACAACAACTTGCTTCATCGGGACGGCAAAAAAAAGGCTCGCTAGAAGCCGACCGCCGTTTCGTTTGGACGTCCTTGAATGGCGGCCATTTCGTAATTCAATTGCTCCGGGTGACGATGAAGAAGTCAAGTTACAGGTTCTCGCGTGCATGTTGCATAACGTCAAGGGTTTTGAATGTCGTTATTTACCAGCTATTAACAGCATTTTTTCCGTCACATGTCAATTTTTGTAATGTTTGTGCTTGTTACATAGCTTTGACCTCAGTTTATTGGTTCAGAAAGGACCAGACCATTCTGATGGGAGATTTCAATGCCAAGGTTGGAACGGATAACACCAGATATGAAGACATCATGGGACGACACGGACTGGGAGAAAGGAAAGAAAATGGTGAGAGATTTGCAAACCTATATGCCTTCAATAAACTGGTCATAGGCGGCAATATATTCCCACATAAACGCATTCACAAAATCACATGGACTTCACCGGATCAAACCACGCAAAACCAAATCGACCATATATGCATCAACAGAAAGTTCAGGAGGACGATGAAAGACGTGAGAACCACGAGAGGATCTGATATAGCATCAGATCATCACTTGCTGGTCGCCAAGATGAAATTGAAACTCGAGAGGTACTGGACAACGGGGCGGACAATATCACAAAAGTTCATCACGGCTTTTCTTCTGGATACTGACAAAATCAACAAATTCAAGATAGCTCTCAGCATTAAGTTCCAGGCCTTTCATGATCTACTCAATGGAGAAGGAACTACCATGCAGAGCGACTGGAAGGGGATCAAAGAAGCAATCGCTTCAACATGCCATGAGGTTCTAAGCCACAAGAAGCACCATCACAAGGAATGGATCACTGTTGATACACTGGATAAGATTCAAGAAAGTAGGAACAATATGGAAGCAATCAATACCATCCAAACAAGAGCAGAAAAATCCAAGGCACAAGCTGAATACAAAGAAGTAAACAAGTAGATGAAGAGAAGCACCATAACCGACAAATGTAAATATGTGGAAGATTTAGCAATGACAGCGGAAAAAGGCTGCAAGAGAAGGAAACATGAGACAACTGTATGACATGACAAAGAAACTCTCTGGAAATCGCCGCAAACCAGAACGACCAATGAAAAGGAAGGAAGGCAAGGTAATCACCAATATTGAAGAGCAACGAAACAGGTGGGTAGAATGTTTCAAAGAACTCTTAAATCGACCAGCCCCAATGAACCCACCCAACATCGAATCAGCACCCACGGACCTCCAAATCGATGTTGGCCCATCAACAATTGAAGAGATAAGCATAGCCATCAGGCAAATCAAGAGTGGCAAAGCAGCAGGACCAGACGACATTCCAGCAGAGGCACTAAAAGCAGACATAGTGGTAACTGCAAGGATACTCCACATTCTCTTCAATAAGATTTGGGATGAGGAACAAGTACCAACAGACTGGAAAGAAGAACTTCTGATCAAAATACCGAAGAAAGGTGATCTCAGCAAGTGTGATAACTACAGGGGCATCACTCTTCTCTCAATACCGGGAAAAGTCTTCAACAGGGTATTGTTAAACAGGATGAAGGACTACGTAGACGCCCAACTTCGAGACCAACAGGCAGGATTTCGTAAGGATAGATCATGTACAGACCAAATCGCAACTCTACGGATCATTGTGGAACAATCAATTGAATGGAATTCATCACTCTACATCAACTTCATTGACTACGAAAAGACATTTGATAACGTAGACAGACCAACACTATGGCAACTTCTTCGACACTACGGCGTGCCTCAGAAGATAGTCAATATCATACAGAATTCATATGATGGATTACGCTACAAAATCGTGCATGGAGGACAGTTGACAAAGTCGTTCGAAGTAAAAACCGGTGTTAGGCATGGTTGCTTACTCTCACCCTTTCTCTTTCTCCTGGTGATCTACTGGATCATGAAGACGTCAACATCTGAAGAGAAGCACGAGATAGAGTGGACATCCAGGATGCAGCTGGACGATCTAGACTTCGCAGATGATCTGGCCCTCCTATCGCAATCGCAACAACAAATGCAGGACAAGACGACCAGTGTAGCAGCAGCCTCAGTAGCAGTAGATCTCAATATACACAAAGGGAAAAGCAAGATTCTCCGATACAGCACAGCATGCACCAATCCAGTCACAATTGACGGAGAAGACTTGGAAGATGTAAAAACCTTTACATATTTGTGCAGCATCATTGATGTACAGGGTGGATCTGATGCAGATGTGAAAGCGCGGATCGGCAAGGCAAGGGCAGCATATTTACAACTGAGGAACATCTGGAAGTCAAAGCAACTGTCAACCAACACCAAGGTCAGGATTTTCAATACAAATGTCAAGACAGTTCTACTGTATGGGGCAGAAACCTGGAGAACTACGAAAGCCATCATTCACAAGATGCAAGTGTTTATTAACAGTTGTCTACGCAAAATACTTCGGATCCGTTGGCCGGACACTATTAGCAACAACCAACTGTGGGAAAGAACAAACCAGATCCCAGCGGAGGAAGAAATTAGGAAGAAGCGCTGGAATTGGATAGGACACACATTGAGGAAAGCACCCAACTGCGTCGCAAGACAAGCCCTCTCATGGAATCCTCAAGGCCAAAGGAAAAGAAGAAGACCAAAGAACACATTACGCCGGGAAATGGAAACAGACACGAGAAAAGTGAACAAGAACTGGATGGAACTAGAAACGAAGGCGGAGGACAGAGTGGGTTGGAGAATGCTGGTCGGCGGCCTATGCTCCATTAGGAGTAACAGGCGTAAGTAAGTAGGTAATCGGTAATTCGAAGTGTTTGTTGCTCTCAACCTGGATGAAAGTTTATTCAGCCTAATGTGATTATTCGTAACAATACAAACTCAACTAAGTGAAAATCAGCATTTATCAAGTCAAAAATAGAACCTGGTCATATTTTCGATCAAAAATAAGCTCGTAAACCTTTTACATATACTGTCGTTTCTGACTGAACTGACATATTATTATGTAACGTATCTGAGGAAGAAAAATGATATGAGTAACAATTGACGTTGATAGCCATTTCTGTCTGCTTTCTGAGCATATACGGGAACTGTGTGTAACAATACTGTAAGTGCTACAATAATTAGTCACATATTCTTGATACGTAAAGCGAACTTTGATTTTTTTGAGCAAAGTGTGGGGCCAGTAAAATGTGAATAAGCCCTAGTCAAATCATCAGGGGGTTGGATCACTGAATATCAAACCGATCATCGATCCCTGTCAAGGTAAATGACGACCAGTGTGCATTATCTAGTCGTACACAATGGACTGGCCCATTAGGTGGTGGTCTTACTATCGCTTGTATCTACTTTAACTAATATGATTCTGTAACAATGTCCTTTGTGGTGTCCAGTCTTCAAAGCATATACAGTACCTTGATACGTCAATGAGGTAGTCCACGTAGGGTGCTGACCACTGTATATGACTTCGACGTTAGTTGGTTCGTCACACCATTCACGTCTAACTCAAGTAGGCCTCCAGTCATTTTCGACATAGATCATCTACGCTGGTGATCTACACTTGCAATTTTCCTAAGTCAAAACCGACCGACTCGAAAATCAACTCGGGAAACTTCCAAGCGGGCACGCGTTAACGGCAACCGTAGCCGGCGAACACAGCCGTCTGCTATACGTCACAGATGTGACAACGAGAGTTCGCTACCTCGTCGACACTGGCGCAGAAGTTAGCGTTCTCCCAGAGGATTCTGACGACCGACTTCACGAATCGTCTTCAAACATACAGGCGGCAAACGGAAAACCTATCGCTTCGTACGGCAAAACGTACGTTTACCTGAACGTGGGTTTACCCAAACCCATTCAATGGATTTTCGTTATTGCAGATGTTTCTATGCCAATCATTGGTATGGACCTTCTACAACACCGTAATCTAATAATCGACACGCGCAAATGGAGGCTAGTAGACGGAAACACTAAATTATCCGTTTGCTTAACTTCTTTTTCTGGTTGCAGATTATCCCCGGTCACAATTAAGCATACGATAGATCCACTTTATCAACCACTACTCGATAAGTATCCTGGGATACAACAAACGCAAGCGAAACTACCGTGTGCAACCAGCAACGTTACACATCACATCACGACTACGGGACCACCTGTATTCTCTAAAGCACGACGACTAGACCCAAAAAGCTAAGGTTGGCCAAAAACGAATATGACCACACGATAGACTTAGGAATCATACGACCGTCAAATAGCCCATATGCATCTCCGTTGCACATGGTCCCTAAAAAGAACAGCAACGATTGGCGTCCAACTGATGACTATCGGCGATTGAATGCGAAAACCATTCCCGATCGTTACCCGTTGCTTCACATTCACGATTTGACAGCTACCTTGAAAGGTACAACTGTCTTTTCGAAAATCGACTTGGTTAAAGCGCATAACCAAATGCCCACGGCTACTGACGACATTCCGAAAACAGCTATAATTACTCCCCTTGGACTTTATGAATTTTTGCGAATGCCTTACGGTCTAAGAAACGCTGCTCAAACATTCCAAAGGTTCATAGACGACGTTTTTTGAGGTCTCAACTTCGTACATGCGTATGTTGACGACTGCCTAATCGCACGTCCGGACAGACAATCGCATCTCAAGCATCTGGATCTTGTTTACGACTGACTACAAAAACATGGCATTACTGTAAACGTCCAGAAATGCCAAATCGAAGCTGACTCATTAGACTTCCTATGACACACTATCGATGCTCAAGGGATTCGACCCCTTAGAACCAAAGTGGCGGTCATTCTGGATTACCCAGAACCGACCATCGTCAAGCAATTACGCACGTTTAACGGCCTGGTAAGTTTCCATCAACGTTTCATATCGAAATGCGCATCGCTTATGAAGCCTCTTACCGATCAACTTCGTGGAAATGCGAAATCCATCAATCTGGACGACACCGCACGAAAAGCATTCTCCACAATTAAGAAACTTATCGCTAAAGCAATAATGCTTGCTCATCAGGGCACTCAAGCACCCATTAGCATCGAAGTAGACGCATCCGACTCAACAATCGGAGGAGTCTTACAACAATGGGTCAACAACTCTTGGCAACCTTTGGCATTTTTCTCTA